TTTTTTTTTTTTTTTTTTTTGTTTTGTATTGAAGTGATCTAATATCTATTTTGTTTTTTGGCAAGGAAAACAAAGTTAAAAAAAAAAAAAAAGAAATTACCCATAACATACCAGCTCTTTATGGAAAACTGACAAGTTTTGTATTTAATGTGCTATTTAACCAATTTTTCATATTTAAACAAATTTACGAAAATTAAAATAACGTATTTGAAAGTTGCGCTTTTTAAAATAACGTATTTGAAATTTTGAGTCTTAAATATGAAAAATTGGTTAAATAGCGCATAACATACCAACTCTTTATGGAAAACTGGCAGGTTTTGTAGTATATTTTGTACCTGCTCTTTATGGGAAATATACCAGCTCTTTATGGGAAAAATTGATTAAATAGCGCCCAAAGAAAAACTAGTATGTTTTGTATTTAACATAAATTAAATATGTGAAAGTTAAAAAAAAAAAAAAAAAGAAATTGCCCATAACATACCAGTTCTTTATGGGAAACTGGCAGGTTTTGTATTTAATGCGCTATTTAACCAATTTTTCATATTTAAACAAATTTACAAAAATTAAAATAACGTATTTGTCCAAATCTCTGGGATCGATTCGTTATTTGATCAAATCTCAAGGAAGGTAAATGTAATTAACCCTTTTCTTTTTCCTGATATCAAGTAGAATCACTAATGTCTCTTAACAGCAGGTGGGTAATTGTTAAATGTCTGGTTATTCAAAGGCGTGGACTGTTATTTGTCCAAATCTCAGGGATCGATTCGTTATTTGGTCAAACCTCAAGGGAGGTAAATGTAATTAACCCATAGTATAAAAGTTCAATTCACTCCAAATTTTATTTTACTTTTTGGAAAAAAATTTGAAACATAAATATGATTGATCTAAATTCGTGAAGTTTAAGATTTTGAAGTCCTACTTATCTAAATACCTCACAGTTCATATGATATGGTCTTAATTTCCACATCATACAGTGATCTAACCAACTTCTTATTATGAACGGGATCAAATTTATATATCTGAATCGTGAAACCGTACAATAGTTACATCGGACCAGAGTTTAAAAACTACAGATGCAATTGTAAAAAGGCAGTAATCACCTCTAAACATAACCCTCTTTAAACAAAATCCATCACCACTAAAAGTTTAAAACTAAAGGAGTATTAATCAGCCAGCATCTATTCATAAATGCCTGGACATATTCCTTATTTGTCCCAATTAAATGACTAGACATCTTCTACTATGGATATCTAAGTTGTGTTTTGACATTGGATTCCGGAAAACCAAAGATAATGAAGGAAAAAATACTGTATGGAAAAAGGTGATAGGGAAATGTGATCACGGAAAACGACAATATTTTTCGACGGAAACAAGCAATCCAAACAAGGCATAATAGTAGAAATGTCCTACTCACTATTCCAAAGTAAATTATACTATCAAGTTTCAGAAGTTTACCATTTTCTTCCAACTTTCTAACACGAACCAAACTTTTGTTGCCGGATTTTAATTCTTCAACGTATTTCGAGAATTCAACAAAACAGTTTATATTTACTTTTCTGGATAGCAGATAGTCTCAAATATAATTTTAATAGCATTTCGATCCGTGTTATCCTTTTACATGTCAATTTACATTTTAGAGAAAAATATATGAAAACTAAAACTAAAGAGTTAGAAAAAAAAATGTCTTAACTTTTTTCACTTATGTTGCTTATGGATTACTCAAGGCATATTCAATATTCTTTTTTTTTTTTTGTCAGCAACGATACATTTGTATAACCTACTCTATTCTAATCTAGGGGGAGGGGGAGCCTAAGGAGGCTGTTGTAGGGGATAGTGGGTATACAGATCCAACTAAACCAAGGGAGTGCTATGGCACAACCCTTAAATTTTTTTTCGCTGCTGGTCCAGTGGTTATATTCAGTATTCACTAATGAAACACCAAGTCAACAATAATGTATCTCAATAATCAATGTCACCATTCTCTCTCAATCACACTCTCCGTTGCATTATTGTACCTCGGTCTCTGTCGTGCAAGTCACTCTCAGCTGTACCAAGAAATGGATTGTCCGCCATAGGTTTGGCCATAGGTTTGGACATTTGTGGAAGTTACGTGTTTGGATTGCCATTTGAAAAATTATTACGTTCTTCGTGAACACATTTTTCAATCACCTTTTTACCTCACATATATCAAATCGCTACAATAATTTTTCTACAAAAAATTTAAAAAAATGCAATCCAAACATAGTGGTTCAGTTCCTCGGAGACACCTTTTTAAACTTTGCCTCCCATAAAAAGTATCAATTTTTTTAAAAAGGTGAATTACAAAAATTCAATTACTATGGGTGTAAACTTTACCTCCTATCAATGTGCTATTATATGTGATTTTTTCTAAATCCATATGGGTGCATAGTATATCCTCCTGGTTCGATAGTGGTTCAGTTCCCGTTGGTTTCTCTAGATTCCGTTGGGCCACTTCCTCCCCCTAGTGTAAGTTAGAGTAGGAGTAGGAATAGATTAGATTAAATGTTGTCGTCTGATAAAAAATAAAAAAAAAATAAACACCTATTCTCATGAAAAATGCACAATTTACTAGTTATTATTGCACTTAATAAATTTCTCGATTTAATTTCTCCTTTTTAAAAAATTTGATAGTTGAAGTCCTAGTTAAAGATAATATAGTAGTATAATATAACAAAGATATTATTAAAAATTTAGTATCATTTTAGAAAAGAAGAAATCATATATATATGGACAATGCATACACTATCACGGTTGGATGCATGATACATGAGCAAAATTTGAATTTAAAATTTAAATTCAGATGAATTGTCATGTATCTAATGGTAATGGTATATGTAAAAGATTAATCCTTTAGTAAAGTAAATTATTGTTTTCTTTGGCTCTAATAATTACGAGGAAAATATGAAAGTTTTAGAGTTGTGACTCCAATGTTTGGATTGTAATTTTCTATTAAAAAATTTTTACATTTTCGGTAAGTACATTTTTCAACCACCTTTTTTACTTCATGCACACATTAAATCATTATAGTATATTTTTCTATAAAAACTTTAAAAAATAGCAATGTAAACAAATTAAATTAAATTTCCAAGTCTACCTTCGAGGATCTCCTCAATCAATTTTAAATATCTCTATACATTTTTTTTTTTTTTTTGCTTTGTATATCTCTTTGTCAAACATGGGGAGATTCTGGAAGAGTGAGACGTACAAGGGACCAATTTTTGGTATCCATTTTTTCTTACAGGTGCAAAACTACCAATGAACGGGGCGTAGAAGAAGTTTCCAGAAATTAAGGGATAATATCAGAAACCTCCCTTTTGAAGTTTCTCTTAATATCACTTGGAACCCTTGAAATTTTAGAAATATCACTTACCTCCCCTAGTAATTGTAAAAAGATTATTTTAACCCTCACTTGGCACATAATTCACAACATATCAAATAAATGGAACTCAAAAATTTTAAAAAAATTGAAAGTCATTTTCTTCTTTTTCCTTTTTTTTCATCATTCTCTCTTACTCATATTTTTCGGATAACTATGCAATATTTTATTTGTAAATTATAATAAATTAAATTTTGTTTATCTTTTACTTTTTGTGATTGTGATAAAATGGGATATGATTTATTTGCTTATTTTGAATTGATTTTTATAATGATTAGTACAGTTTAATAATTTGAGTAAGGGTTGAGAAGATATTGGAAAAAAATATAAATTCTTAAGAAATCGATTTTTAGCATATAGAATTAAATTGATACAAGTGTGTTTCTTTTCAAATATCTTTTTTATTTTTCAAATTTATATTTTATGGACTATGGCATTGTGATGCAGTAATACTATAAGAGATTTTTTTTAGGTGATGGTTTTCTTCAAGTGAACTAAGTGATTTAGGAATATTTTTATTTAGCAAGTGAAAGAGTAGTTTAGGGTTTTTAAAAATTTTGTTACACAAATAACAAAAGTAAGAGAGGTAAGTTGTGTGTGTGTTTCTTCCGGCTGTTGAAAGAGAGGTAAGTGATATTTTTGAAATTTTAGGGGCGCTAGGTGATATTAAGAGAAACCTTAGGGGAGGTTTCTCAGACACTTGTTTTATTCCAAGTAGACAAGATTTCTGCATAGCTCAATCGAACCGAAGATGATACTCCCTTTTACGTATAATGATCTTGATTTTTCTAGGTCATTTTCTAGGAGTTTATTGGCAAAATAACTCTTCTTCCAAAATATATATCCAAAGTAACCTTATTTTAAAATTTATTATCTTTATGATCCTTTTTTTGCCACTTAGGCTGCATATGTGCCAGCATGGAGATAAAACCACCCTCCATTTCTCTTTTCCATTTAATATCTTCTCCAATTTTCTCTCTAAACCTTTTCGCATTTTTTTTTTTGGTTATCTTTTCCTCGTCAAATGTAATTCTAAGAAGCCAATATTTATATTAATAGCATCTAAAAAATATGCTTCTCGAATCAATAATCTCGAGGCAAATGAAGATTATTCTCTTATCTTTTCAAGGAATAGGAAGGATAACATAAACAAATATAATAGTCTTGAAGTTTTTGTAATTGTTTACAATTTTTGTATTTTTAAAATTTATTTTTTGAAAAAAAATATATGCAATAGGTTTGATACATTTAAAAAAAATTCAGAGACCAATAATAGCAAGATCAATAATGGTAGAATTTTTTTTTAAATAATTATAAGGAAATTATAAAAGTCATGCAATCTTCTTGTACCTCTATAATAAAAAAAATTAAAAAGTTTAGGTCATGTTAAAAACTATAAAACTAGATTAGAACCTTCCTTCTTGTTATCCTACATGGTAATTAGGATAATTAGATGACAACAATAATATTATTATGGGAATAAAATTTGAAAGTGAATCATATTGAAAATATTTTTTAACAAGAGTGTTATTTTGGCAAAAAAAACTTCATTTTCCAGCACCCAATGTATAAAACATAGGAAACATAGAACGTGGCTGACGGTCCAAAGAGCAAGAAAGTATCAGCTGCATCAGCTAGAGCTTACAGAAGAAGAGCAAAGAACAGCAGCTCTTTTAAGCTTTCTTCAAGTGGGTTTTTCTTATCTTTTCTCGTTTTAATGTTACTAATAGCTATTGCATTTCTTTGCTAGCCTGTTTCTGTTTCTTGGATGTTCTTGATGTTCAATATGTTGCTATACCTCCAGGATTCCATATTGCAATCTTTTAATCTGTAATTATTTTAGTGGATATGCTTTTGAGTAAATTGGATTACAGGACAGTTCTAAGATGCAGTAGTTAGAGCTGCTTGTTGGAGCTTAACTAAGCACTTAAGCTTCAATTTTGGTCTTCAATTTTGCCATACTAATGTTGAGCATAAAGGGTTCTGATTTAGAAGAGTTTTAACTTTGGTGCTTGCATCATGTGTTTTTACCTGGTTCTGGGTCCAATCCCAATTATACAAGTCCTTTGGGTGCAGAGGGCATTAACCTAATGCCAGGGGAAGTTCTCATGTAGGGCTATGTCTTAACATAAATTTGATTTTTTTTTTCATAACAATTTGATAATTTATGAGGTGTATTTTCCCCAGCCAGGATAATCAGGCATTAAGTATCCCATTCATTGGATTCCTAGAGTACTTGTGATTTTCTGGACTCTGGACAGTTGCTGAAATGAGTTTTTGTAGCCAAAAGTTTAGGTCTTAAGGGTGTCATTCAAACATTTCTTGGAGTTAGAGCCATGCTCTTTTGTTCTATTAGAGTAATTTTAGTATGCCAGGAAAAAGAACTCGAGAGCTAAATCCAGCTTAGAAATTCCATATCTTGAACTCAATTTCATTATTTGGGTATAATTTAATTACCAGTCACTAACATAATCAGGCTATGTCATACTTCAAGCACATTGAACATATAGAAGCATGAGAAGCAGTATGTTGCTAGATTTTCTGCCCTATTCAGAAGCATTTTCTTGTTCTATCAACTATCATGCTGCATCAATGAGAAATCTATCATTACTTGAGCCCAAAATCGGTCAATATGTGGTACCTGTTAAGTTTATATTGATCAAAATTAGCTTAGATCCTTATTATTGCACAACTAGAACTAGTAAGACTTTCTAGATTTTGGATCAGCAATTACATTTAAATGAGCAGTAAGAATCTTGCAACTTGTGTATAAGCAAATAAACTTTACTGTTAGAATCCTTCAACGTGTCTAGTTGGGTGCTTATTGCTAAGTATTCTCTTACTGATCCATCCCTGCTTGACATTTTCTCTTGTAAGACTTGGTTTATGATTCATGCCTCTTTGCCCGGTCTATAATTGATATTTAAACCAGCGGCAATATGCTGACTTTCACATTTTCATTTCTGTCTCCAGCAATGTTTGCACAAATAGCAGTGGGAATAGTAGGGGGTTTTCTGGTCTGGGCTTATCTTTCAATGAAGCCTGCTCCTCCAAAAATATGTGGTTCCCCTGATGGCCCTCCAGTGACTTCACCTAGAGTCAAACTCAGTGATGGGAGATATTTGGCCTACAAAGAGGCTGGTGTTAGCAAGGAACAAGCTAAGTACAAGATCATTCTCATTCATGGCTTTGACAGCTCCAAAGATATGATCCTGCCAATTTCACAAGTATGTCCTTGTTCTTGAAAATTTAATTTATCATTTACATTTTATGTCCTGTGAGCCTTTAGTTGGGCTTCTATCTGCTTAAAATTATCGTGCAGTAATCTTGGAGGGAATAAAGTTTTCCCTACCCACTTCCCCAGCACTCAAAAAATATAAAAGCAAAGTTGTCTTCAAAGACAAAAGCGCTTGAGTTCCTAATGGGTAGCCAAACCAAATTATTTTTGACAAATTGATGTGTTTTCTAAATGTAAGAATTTGATAAAGTTCTTTTTCTGCACCATGAAATTGAGAAAGTTATTGTTGAAGAGGTGGAAAGTGTGTTTTTGGCTATTCCAGACAACATGGTTGAACCAAAGGCTTAGATGTGTACATCAGGTTCTGGTTCTGTACCACAAAAGACCTGGAGTACTTTGTTTATGCAGCCACTCTAGCAATCAATTTGGATAAGACCTTCTGGGGACAGATTGGAACTAAGTTTAGGTTTCCAAATATCTATCATATGTGCAACATTTAGAATTTATCATGCAGTCTCTTTACATAGTAAAACATATGTAGTTTATAGTCACAGATCTAATTTGATCTCAACCTTATGAAAACATCTAATGACTCCTATTTATGTGTTTAGGATCTGATAAACGAGCTCCAGATATACCTTCTGTCATTTGATCGTGCAGGGTATGGGGAGAGTGATCCATATCCAAAGCGCTCAGTAAAGACTGAAGCATATGATATTCAAGAGCTAGCTGACAAGTTGCATATTGGCCCAAAGTTCCATATATTTGGCATCTCCATGGGAGCATATCCTGTTTGGGGTTGTCTGAAATACATCCCTCACAGGTAGAAACGAATGATTGACTTTTCCTCAGTTATATTTCTAAATAGCTAATCACCCCAGTTCTTTGGTTCAAACTCTCCTGATATTCAAGTGCTACTCTATAATCACATTACTCGAGACATTGGTAGTTACCAGGAGCCTTGTTTCCCTTATTGTGTTCCTCCTTATTTCAACTTCTTACCACTCAAAGCTTGTTTTCTTGTTGAACTATTACCATCATCCTTGAAAAGGCTATTTTTCAGGTCCCAAGATGTACTCTAATGCTGACCTCTGATTGAAGTGCTATAATAATGAAGATGGTGCTGAATGTTTCCCTTTGATTGAAAGTGGTGTTTTTTTCTTATTTTTTTTGGGTTGCCTAATAAGAGCATCATATTCGCCTCGAGGAATGCATTGCTTTGCTGGAGATGAAAATACCCCTCCCCCCCGCCTCCCGGGCCCCCCCTAAAAGAACTGAACAAAAATAATCTAAGCGAGGCAAAATTCTCTTGTATGACGGCATCTGCATAAAACACTCATGAAAAATGTTACCCTGCCTTGGCATGCTTAAACTTGTATTATGCAGAGCAACAAATATAGCTTATTGGGTGACACTAACTTCTTTCTAGCATATTCAGTATTAAATTATATTCTGAAAGACTGATACTCACGCCAAATTATAGTAAAACTAGGTATCAGAATAACCACTGTGATTCTGAAAGTAAAACTATTCTTGGTCCATGTGAAAACCTTTATTTGATTTAGTGCATGCTATATTTCAAGTGTAGTACGTTTTGTAACCTTCCAGTGAAGCACATATGTTGATTTTCATACTCATGACTGAATTATGTTAACACTCACCATGTGGTGTTTATCACCTATTATAAAGGTAAGTATTTGAGGAATCCCTGTTTTCCGTTTTAGTCAAAAGCAATTTGTAACCATTAGAAAGTATATGCTCCTTTTCCAACATTTATCTTATGTACCCCTTGATTGTTAACTGAAAGTATTTGATTGTTAGGAGAGTTGTTGCATGCAAAATATTGACATGTATTGTTTAATCAAGTTGAAGGAAAATCTATTGTTTTGTTCTTTTCAACACTTTGTTGAACAAATTTGTCTAACGTTCATTTCCACCTGTATGTGCAGGTTGTCAGGAGTTGCACTGGTAGTTCCATTTGTTCACTACTGGTGGCCTTGTCTCCCCGCCGAACTATCCAAACATTCCCTTAGGAAGCTACTTGTTCAAGACCAATGGGTATTTCGAGTAGCACATTACACCCCATGGTTGCTTAATTGGTGGATGACCCAAAAATGGTTCCCATCCTTAAGTATAATGGAAGGAAAAACAGATATTTTAAGCAGCCAAGATCTTGAGATATTAAAGCAGTTGTCAGGTGTCTTAAATGATGGACAGGTATTTGTACTCTTTCTCTTTTGTTTGATGTTGATAGAGTGTAAATTTACTATTTGCTTCATGAAAGAGTTCATGTCCTTTACCTTTGAAATGTACCTCTTGAGCTAGTTCTGCATAGGGTAGATTAGATATATCGATCATTCTATTGCTGAATTGACTCTTAAAATCACTCTGATATCAAAATTATTTCACATGATAGGTTGGTTAAGTTGAAATAGTGTAAAAGTTAAAAGCACTAAGAAACTGCAGGAGTGCTTTCTAAGAAATCAGTAGTCTATTTGTAAGATATCGACTTCAGTAGCAGCACAAGAGGGAACAACTGCAAATGAATGCAGTATTTGTTGTCTGGGAAGAAATTTTCCAAAACCTCTACAAGTTGGAACCTGTGAAGATAATAAGCTTTTCTCTTAATACCACCCTCAGAAAACTATGGCATATTACATTGGCATGATTGCACCAGATTGTAATTTTCACAATCATTTTTAAAGTACATATCATCTGTAACTCCAGAACCTTTCTTTGGCAGGAGAAAGTGAGACAGCAAGGTCTTTATGAATCTCTCTATCGTGATATACTAGCCGGTTATGTGCAGTGGGAATTTGATCCCACTGATATAGCTGATCCATTTCCAAATAAGGAGGGCTCAGTTCATCTTTGGCAAGGCTATGAAGATAGAATTATCCCATTTGAAATAAATCGTTACATATCAGAGAAACTGCCATGGATTCGATATCACGAGGTTCCTGATGCTGGACATTTGCTGACCTTCAATGGCAGCTTATGTGAATCCATAGTGAGGGAACTTTTGACTGCATGATGTCGTTCATCCTCATGATGGCTTCAAAAAGTTTTACAAATAAATAATGTCTTCATGAGTACGTCCCCTCGAGTGAATTCAACATATCCATAGAAAGCCTTCTCATCTCTGTATTAATTGTAGGGATTTTAAAAGCAATGCCAAGTTTTCACAAGTTTTAGCTTCACTCTTCTTCTGCTTGTTCATTCTTTGCATGAATTTTTATGCTATGCTTTAACACTTTCTACAACTTTCTTCCCCTTCTCCTTGCTCCCTGGCCGTGGAACCTTGGGGAAGAGTGACAAAAAGGGAAAACATATGAAAGAACAAAGAGACAGTTCAAAGCAAGATAAGATGTGCTGCAGCTTGGTGTCAAATGATAGAGTGCCTACTTTTGGTTTGACAAGAAACCATGCCCCTATTGTCCTACAAATCTAAGCAAGGATCTTTTTTCATTTCTGACTTGTTCCAGTGTTCTCCCAACCATCCTAGAATGTCCAAGTTAGGTCAATTTACAATTTACAGCAATTAACTTAGTTGAACAGTACCTTATGGTTGGTAGACATATAAGATTACTCCATTTTAATGCTAAAGCTAAGTGCAATCATGCATACACGTCCCAATCCTCTTTCTCTCGCAGACAATTGGATAAGGAAACAAAAAGTTATGCTTGGCAAGTCATGTTCCATTAACTGTTTGGCAGAAGAGCTCTTACTTAAAAGATCATTGAATTTGCCAAACTTGTTATCCATATATTATATGACTTGTCCAAACTCCACTACCATCACCTAAGACTTTTGTTTTGTAACGGGTGTTTAGTAGATACTCGTTGTATATCATTGACGATTTAAATGCACACATTCATAATTTACTAAGTCCCCTAGATTTTAACACTTTCAGAATACTAGCACCTGAATATCTACAATCAATGCCCCTACAATGTATATTCACATAAGGTAACAACTACGTTCCACCTGGGTGAATTCAACTTAGGAAAGGAAATATTGGGATGCAGCTGATGTTGAAGGGGCTAAAATTTTTCCTCATCAACATGTTTGTGTTTTGGATTCATCTTGCTATTTTTTGTGTTTTTAACTAGAATTTCCTTGATTCGATTTATAAAATTAATTGAAAACATGATAGATAGCAAAACTTTTCCGACAAGATCTGGTCCATCTGCTCATGTAGGCCATGTTTTCCTTGCAAGGGAAATGTGTAAGAAGAGATTATAGCAAGCTGTGATACTGCAAAAACATTTGTTATCTGGTTTATCAGAAGGAAGCAACCTAAAGAAGATGACAAAAAGTATCAGCTCAAGGAAATTTCGCCACTTTGCTCATGTTCTCGGGTTCAAGAAGTTGTAAGTACAATTCCCATCACTCATATATTACCACAAAAGGGCCACCAGCCGTCACGACCAAGCAATTAAGTCTTGGTGGTGTGAAAGGTCAAGTGTTCAACTTTTACCTCCCACCAATTTGCCACTGTATGTGGCTGCCTTCTGTGGCTTTTTTCCGATGGTGATTCAACTCTCATCGGCTCTCCCTTCCCTTAGATTAGGATAGATTAGATTATAAAAATGTTACCGATGAATTTTATTAGGTAAATCTTTTCTATGTTCAGCTCTACACAAATCTTGAGCATATTTTAAGCAAAAATGTAATGCCTGCTTGATGCAACAAATTTTTTACAGAGTTTTAATGCTTTGTTTTGATACTTATTAGTCCTCAACAACAAAAATGTCAAAACCCAAATGTTTTACCTTTGAATCTTATACTATAAAACGTTGATTTGATTCCCAGAATGTCCTTTGGTGCATGGACTAGTATTGATTGCCCTCTTCTACTGCTCAAAAATGGCCCCAATTGCTGATGCAAAATGGTCAGGTTCAGATGGTATTCAAATCGCATGAAATTATACAATGACATGCTCTAAAACAATACATCAAATGGGGGCCAAAATCACTATCTCCAATAGATTAAACAGACACAGTAACATCACCGAACGTAATAGAGGAAATGCTCCATAGAATATTCTTAAATCTGGTATAAACCAAACAGATGATTCCATTATTCCCGATTGTGCTAATTACCATATTGAAATATAAATTTGTCTCAAGATTATTTAATTCTAATTTTGTTTTGGAAAGAATTTTATTGTGCTACAAGTTACAGGTGCACCAGATTTTGCAAGCAGCCAAACTTGGCAAATCTGTAGTTGTCATCAAGATGGTTTGAAAGTCTTCAGACTATATTGTCAAGTGGTAAGAGTTGGCAACCGGGTAAATTCCACGAGTCAATACCAAATTAAATTATTACCACTTGCATGTTTAATGATGAAGAAATTGTAAAGGGAACTCTACAGAAGTATAACACATGCAAGATTAACAAACGCAGGACTTTTCTTTTTTCCAATCAGTTTGACTAGCACGTGCCAAATAGGCGACCATTAAGAGGGTTTCTGGTGTTAGTTTTTTTTTTAAGTATAATTAATTCAGAAAAATAGCCAAATACAGGGGATGAGTCGAGTTGGACGAGGTCGAACTTGACTTAAAATTTGAGGTCGAGTTGAGCTTGAGATTGAGCCTACTTGACTTGAGCTTAAAAAAATTATTTTAATTTTAAAAAAATAAGTAAAATAGTAATTTTTCTTAACAAATAATAAAATATTATGGACATATATACGTAATTTCACTATTAAAATAAAAAATAATATTGCGAGTTAACGAGCTAAGTTTTTCTGTGCTCAACCTCAACTCTAATTTGATGTTGATCGAATTCGAGTCGAGTTTTGATTGAATTGGCTCTCAAGTGCCCGCATGTGACTTGAATCGTTTGCAACCCTACATATAAGTGTGTTTGGGAGAAGATAAATAATACTAACAATATATCAATAATCACACGTAATAATAACAAGGCTATCAATTCTTAACTCTTCTCAATTGGCAACAATATTAAGACCTATTTATAAACCCTCTCAATTGACAACAATATTAAAACTCCCTATTTATAGACTAAATGATTTGGTAAATAAGTCTTACAACAACAAAAAATTGAGAGCCAACTAATTCCTAAATACTAAAATTACTACAATTTAATTCCAATAGAACTACTAAAATCTTAATTTGAGTAAAACACTGCTATATAATAATATAAGGAGAAGAAGTGGGGTAGAGAAATTGGTAACTCATCAGGGGGCCAGCTTACAGGCTAGGCCTCTCTCTAACCTGAAAACTAGTATTATTGAAAAAAAAAAAATTTTTTGACTTGATTTAATATGCCAAATGGAATTTTTTTTTTTTGAAGTTTCTTACATATGCTCTTAATACACCTTTTTCACATTTAATTTGGAGTGAGTACAAACCCTTATTTATATTATGTCTTTTATATTTAAACATTACGGATTTAATTTTACTTTTAAGAAAAATATCAGTATCACAGTCCATAACTCATTTGAATAAATGACCTTCTACAACCCACTTTTTTTTTTGTGTAATTTGGAGGTTTCAAATCTAAAAACTCTCACTTATATTTTCTTTTCCTATATCATCTAACACATTCCTTTTCCCTTTGACAACTCATTTTTTTAGTAACATAAGTGGAAGGATTTGAATCGAAACTTATCACTCATGTTTTATCTTTCGATACCACCCAATCTATTACTTCCCCTTCAACCACCCACTTGACAAATCCTTTACAAGAAATAGATTTTAGGAAAGTAGAAAGCTAACGTGAATCATTGAGTTGGAATATTGTATGAAGAATGTCCAAGTGTTCAATGGATGAGGATGTCTTGCCTCCCTCGTCCATTGTCCATTGTCCATTGTCCATTGTATTGGGATTTCTTCGTAAATAGACTGCATCATATAGGCTGGCGGTCACATGTTTAAACTTCCAAGAAAAAAACTGCCTGCTTACGTGTTTCTTTTTTTATATCCAAAATTTCGCTTGACTACTATTGCAGCATTTTGCGCTTACGAAGCCTCCTTAATCATGGAAATAAAGCAAAAGACAGCCAACAACTCCTTGTTTTTAAGCTATTCTAATACCTATATCTATCACGGAGGCAAGTCATGATTTTGTACCAGAGAAGTGAAATAGAAGATAATACACCTCTTTGTTTTTAGCAATACTTTTCTATATTTGTATTTATTGCACAAGCATGTCATGATTTTGAGTTGATTTTTGTAACTTTTTTTTTTATAATAAAACATATTTCATTAAAGGATTGCTGGAAATTGTCCAGCACAATTGAGATACATTGCTACCCTGATGGCAGATAAACATGCATTAAAATTATAGATCTGCAATTTAACAAATACATAGGATTTGAGAAATTAAGGACAGATCTAAAAAGTACCATCAATTTGAAAAACATTTCATCATAGAAAAAGTCGTTGCAGTTCTCTTTGTGCATGCTGTAATCGTCAGATCTGCTAATCAACAGTTGTAAGGTCCAATAAAGATGGTGAGATTTGCCGAGATTGATCCAAATCTGAAATATTCCCTTAGATCTGCTATCCAACTGGTTCAAGCTCAAAACTGAAAGTGAGATCTGATGAGAAGACTGAAAAAATTGTAGATCTAACATATAGATCTAAAAAAACTCCAAGATCTGAAAAAGTAAATAACAAAACTAAATAAAACTCTCACTAAGATAGTTTAGAAGAGACTAAAACTCTCAATAGGACACCCTAGGAGAGAAGAAAACTCTCACTAAGATAACCTAAGAGAGACTTTATTGAATGAAAGGAAGAGCAAAGGACAAAGGAATAGGAAGGGAGACCTTGGTTTAAGGCCAAGATTTCCCTCCTATGGAGGAGGAAGGGTAGAGGAGGAAACCTAGAGAGAAGAGTTGATTTTTGTAACTAAATGTCTAGACATCCCATCTTACATTATAATCTTGATCGACACTTGATTTGTTTTTCTGTAACTGGAACATATTTGTTGCAATTGAAACAAACCTCACTATAAACATTTGTATGCAATATAAAATTTCCATTACAATTAGTTTCATTAATTAATCACTAAAATTGGCCTTGTGATCAGGAGAGAGCTCTTAAAGGTCTCTCCACTGTCACGTTCAGGGTTCAAATCATGGATGTGACACTGTAAGACCGGAAAAGATACGAGTGATAAGTGTCAAACCACCAAAATTAAAATTCCTACTCTAAAAATTTAAATTCAAGTATAATGATGAGTAGAGTTGTCTACTCATGGACTGGATGATTCATTTCCTTCCAAAACACTAAATAAAATGGAAAATTTTGGAAAATTTAAAAATAATTAATTAGAAAAGTAATTTGTGAAAATAAATAGGAATTAAATCAACGATACATATGATTCTAGTCAAAAGTGTAACTTTTTATGTATGGTTCACACAACTAATCATCGATGCAAAAATAGTTTAATTATTAATTAATAGATTGGTTATAACTATTAACAAACTCTGACAATCAACTTTTCTTTACTTTATCGATAATCAATGTACGACCCTTAACTATTTATCTAACCAAGAAATAACCTTGGCTATGACTATATGACTTAATTTCCTAATTGCATTGGAAACTAGAAAAATCCAGCCCTTACTAATAAACATGTTACGAAGGTTAGTTTAAATTAGATCATGTATTTTCCTAATATGAAATCAATCACGCTAGTTGCTACTAGTATCAACCAATCAAATAATTATGGATTTAATCGATTAATATGACAGTAGATTATTAGATTAATTTGAATATCAGACCTTTGACAATCAAACAACGAAACAATCATAAGAAATTAAATTAGAAAATACATGAATACCAATGAATTAAAAGAAATAATAAAAAATCAATTTGATCTCACAGATGCTTGAAACCGTGTTTTCAAATTGACCCTTGACTAGAAAAGAAATCAATTGTTCATCATGGAGAAAAATTCCAACGCAAAAGATGAAAGTATTACAAGGTCGTCCCGTCTTTTCACAAAGATGAAGATACGATGTAATGTTTCCTGCTTGGACAATATAAAAGCCAAACGTTCTCTTTTTCCTTGTCTAATTAGCTTCCTAATTTCTAGCTATCAAGATAAGGAGAATCCCCATTGAAAAAGTAACTCCTAAAAAGATAACCTAAACAAATGATTCCTATTAGGAATTGGAAACGTCTCTGGGAAGAAATATCACGTTCACACTCCAACTCAACGATCGCAACTGCTTTAGTAAACTCGTTTGCATCGGAATCCTGAGTTTTTCGAATTTGACAATAGGATTTAAATGCGTTCGCGCGAATCTTTTGAAAAATCATCTCTTTTATCTTTATTTGCTCCACATTCCTGTAATTAGCATAATTTACCAAATCTGAATGAAATATACCAATTACTAATACAAAATATTTAGTCAAATCAAGGAGAAAATATTCACAAATTCACTAATAGAATGCGCCCTATCAATGAGGAGGGGTGAGAGGTTAGAAAAACAAATGAGAACCCAATTGCAGAAGTTTCTTTCCTTTTGTCAAATGTGAATGCGCATTAGACTTTCAAAGCCTACATTTCACAGATGCTTCCAACGCTCGGAAGTTGGAAACTGCCAAGAATTCATGTAGAATGCCCTCAAATGTGTTGGAAAGAGGCTGCATCTCCCTTTGCTAGTGGGACCAGGAGAAAGAATCCTAGGACAGTAAAGCTTGAAAAAGGATTAAATTGCTAACAATTACAGCCTGAAAAATATGAGGAAGAAGTTTCCTTGGAAAAGAGAAAGTGTGGGGCTCAAACAATTGGGCCAGCAGCCAGTTTCTTGACAACTTGGTATTTTTTTTTTTCAATTTTTATAGCTTTCAATTATCAATATATATAGTTCAATTTTTATACGCTAATACAACAATTAATTGCTGCAAAACGTAGCTTTCACCTGTACCTATTTGTGTATAAATATCTTTTCATTATCGTTTTGAATTCACATTTCGCTTCATTTCCTAGCTCCTTCTTTTCCGTTTTGGGCATTTACAAGTTGATTGGGACAAGAATTAAATTGGCATTATTAAGGAAAATACTTCAACAAATTCTGTATTTTTTTATTATGACATTTTGCGCTCTATAATTGTCTCAAACTAATGAACCGTCTACATGCATAAATACATCGATACATGCATACACGCACATACACCCGTATTACATATATTTGCTTATATTTGGAGTGCAATATTGCAATTAGATTTTTTCCCTTTTTTTTTTTGGGTAATCTTGGTGGGATTTGTTGTATTGCATAAAGGCCCTCGAATTCTCGATTAATAAGACAATAATCCTCTCCTAACCCAAGAATTAAGTGGAAAACCCCCAACCACAACCCCCGCCCTCCCCATCCAAAAAAAAAAAAATATATATATATATACTTAGCACCTACTTCTTACCATTATAAAACCATCTATAAGTTACAATCAGGATTCACCAGGGCATCAAGCAACAGGTTCTTGCATATTGAAAAATATTTGGGCTGATAGTTTAGAAGTGGCCAGTTGCCAGGCTGCACAAGGGGTGACAAATCAATTAAATAGTTTCAATTTTAAACTTAGAAGTGATGGAAGAGTGAAATACACACAAATAATTAGTAAATGAGATCTCTTTTTTTAAAGGTTTCGAGAGTTTACAGTGTCTCCAACAGGACTCCAAGGCACTCCACAACTGCTGACCCCGATAACAAAACTTCCACCGGAGAGCCCATATCCGCCATCGCTTCTGCTGAAAAAGCTGGCTCAGGTGAGCTTAATTCAACCATCCCATCAATTAAACGAAGAATACAAGAGTAGCCCATGTTTCAATTTCCTGAAATCTAATCAGTAAATTTATTTGTTGATGTTTTTGTCATAATTCAGACATGGTCTTTAGGAGATTTTTTGGTATGATGATTGGCTGCCTCGGATTAAGTGATCAGCCTACACTGCCATCTCCTTCTGAGGCTGCTGAAACACAGCCATTAGATCTAGCTGAAGTAAACAAATCACCAAGAATCAGGCTGAGTGATGGAAGATACTTGGCTTACAGAGAAGTAGGAGTCCCCAAGGATAAGTCCAATTTTAGAGTAATTTGTGTTCATGGCTTTGGCAGCTCCAAAGAAATGAACTTTTTAGCACCCGAGGTATCAGCAACTTTTTACTGATCTGAATCTTTTTGATTGATTGAATGAATGGATGTTTCATTGTTTACCCGTCCCAAAAGTTTACTTTTTGAATGTTATAAAGATTTTGGGTATTGCATGTTCGTCAAGTTGGAATCTTGCTTTGAAATTTTATAGGCGTAGCATGAAACGGTTGAAATTAATGTCAGCTTGCTTGAAAATTAGATTGATTGGCTAGTTTTCAGTGTTAACTTGTATTAAGTAAAGGGGATTTTATCTATATCGGATTGATTAATAGTTCTTGCGGGTTCTAGGCTTTCATGTTTTACAGTTCTCTAGATTTGGTTTGCCATGAATATCTTTATTTCATGTGGCACGATTGTAGTATTATGCAGGTCTGCTTTAAGTTTCTGTTCCAAAATGTTCATAGTACAGATGGATGGTATTGGGCTCCAGGGTTTCAGTAGCCGAACTTTGAATATGAAACGCAGATTAAATAAGTCTGCATTTTCACAGTTCAATTTGGAATCATCAATCTTGACTAGCTCTGTTTTGTAAGTTATGGAGGAAATTAGCCTTTTTGATTTAGCAACACAAAGTAATTTACTGATTTAATGATATATGCAATTTACAAGGGTCAAGATAGTGCAGTTAATCTGGTTATTTGTGGAATGATGATGGAAGAGTGTAACTTTATACATGTGATGGAATGACTCACTAATGAATTGTCTACTGAACTGTGAGGGATCACCACTTTCAAGATTGACATACAACTAATATTAATAACAAGTAACTTTGTGTTTTCTCATTTGACTAAGATAATACAAAATGTATAGATGGGGTGGCCTTTACATTTGTCCAGTGAACCATTGTTTCATAAAGATTCATTATATAGAACAATCTCATTGTGTACTAGTCTCCAGGAACTAATGGATGAGTTGGGAATATATTTCCTCTTATTTGATCGAGCTGGATATGGGGAGAGTGATCCAAATCCAAAACGCTCAGTAAAAAGTGAAGCATCTGACATTGAGGAACTAGCTGATCAGCTAGAACTAGGACCCAAATTCTACGTAGTGGGAGTTTCTTTGGGTTGTTATCCTGTCTGGAGTTGCCTCAAACGTCTACCACATAGGTTAGAACTCACCTCAAAAACCGCCTTCAGCAGTTGTCGTGCCTATTTCAAACCAGCAAATTTTACATCTATCTATGATTTATGAGATGCAGGCTAGCAGGTTCTGCGCTCATAGTCCCTATGATCAATTACAAGTGGCGCACTCTTCCAAAAGATCTGGTAAAGGATGACTACCGGAAGAACCTTTGCCGATGGATTATCTGGCTTTTACGCCATACTCCTGGGCTGCTACATTGGTGGTTGACTCAAAAAGTTTTCCCCTCATCCAACGTTCTTGATAAAAACCCTGCATTCTTTAGCTCGAAAGACCTAGAATTCTTGAGTAACACTAAAGGATACCAGTTATTTGCTCAGGTAATTTTCTTTGTGCAATTTGTTTAAAAAGAGAAGGGAAGTTTGTTCTTGCAACAATCTTTAAATTTGTTTTAAACATCCTAAGCAAGGCACTAGTCTGTTGTATCATTTTGTAAAGCTGATGAAAGATTGACCATCTCATTTTACCTATTTGTACAGAATGGATTTAAGGATCGCCACACGTTTGAGTCCATTCGCAAGGACTGCATTGTGGCCTTTGGTAGGTGGGACTTTGAACCGATGGAACTAACTAATCCATATGCTGAAAATGAAAGCTCTGTTCACATCTGGCAAGGTTGCGAGGACAAGGTTGTGCCAGTTAAATTGCAAAGGTATGTTTCAGAAAGGCTACCCTGGATTCGGTATCACGAGGTTCCTGATGGTGGGCATATGCTTGTGTATGACAGTTCGGTATGTGCAGCCATCTTGAGGTCTCTTTTGCTTGGAGAAGATCCTCCAGAATACAAGCCTTATTAGCCAATCAATTGTTGGCTTGTTCTTGTAATCAAATTGATCATTCTGTAAGTAAATTGGATCACAAAGTGACATTTATTTGTTTGAAGGAACTTCCAGTAATGGCGGATATGTTTTCTATATTAAACTGTACATAAGCTAACCAAGTCAAGGGAAAAGGAACGGGAGCTTGAATTTCTTTTCTTTTCTTTTCTTTTTTTTTGTTCTTTAATATATATTTTTTTACATCACCTAGAAAGCAGTAATGTTCTTCTTGCAAGACATAAATGTATCGGAAAGTGTTCTCAGTTGCAAAGCTCACATCTCTTTTATTTGTCTACCATTCTTGTCGTGTGCAAGTTGAAATAGGATCTTGTAAGTGGTCAACTACTGAAATAGAACAAATGTCACGTCTCTGATGTTATAATTTTTGTTTGCTTCCATTAATTTCTATTGTCTGTCCTGAGAAGAGGAAAACTGGAAAAGTGAGATGGACCTCAAGTTAAGGTTTGGTCAGTTTTTTCGTTTGGGCGGCGGAGGACCAAATGTTTTGCTGCAATCTACACCCATATCAAGCATATACAATACAAAAAGATTGAGTGCAGATCAAATAATCAAAACCTAATCCTGTTCAATGAATATTGACTCGTGCATTTATTATCTTTTGCCAAAGATGTCTCAATTCAACCGGATTAAGAACATCAACTCATTGCCATTGAATTTATTCACAGGCTCACCGTTGAATTTCTTCCCTCATACGCCTCCAAAATCCTGCAAAACAACAACAATACATCATTCCTAGGATTGATAAGCTAAATTAAACCACTATTTTTAAAATGCATGACTAAGATTATTGAGCATGGTATATTGTTCATACTGACAAATTTGTGATTTTTGCACCTTATTTTATCGTAGAGATTACAAGCTTCCTAATTTTTTTTTGGTTGATTAAAAAGAATTTATACTCCAGAGAAAAAAATAGGGAAAACGTAAAATGAAAAAGAAAGTAAAGAAATAGAAAAAAACACTCCATATCTTCGTCAACTACTCGGCGAAACAACACCCCTCTTCAAAGTGCTCTGTTGGTATGATACAAGCAACTGCTGCAAATCTGGGCTGCCGCTTGGTCGCAACAATTTTAAGTGAGTTCTTTATTCATTGAAATTGCATATCTTTATTCAAATGGGTTTTTGAGTTGTTTACTTGTTTCTTGAATTCTTGCCGCATGCGACATATAGTTTTTGACTTGAAAAATATCAAATTCTCAAATGGGTCATGCATATTTTCATCAGGTATCCTGTAATTTTTAATTTTTGTGGCTCTGATGATTATATGAGATTCCCTTCTTGCGTAGTAGTGGGTATTGTGTTGATTTCATATAATCATTTGCATAAGGGATAATTACATAAACCTCTCCTGAGGTTTTTGATAATTTCACTTAGTACTCTTAAAGTTTTAAAAATATCACTTACCTATCATATTTTCAAATTTTTGTAACATTCTCAACCCAATTCATATTATATGATTAAAATACTCATTTTACGAAAGAGAAAATAATTTCTTTCCAATTATGCCCTTCATTGCCTTAATTTTTTAAATTGTAAGTATAGTAATTATATGTTTAAAATAAGGACAAAAAGCATGAAGATGTTCTTTTTTTTAAAGGAACAACATATAATAATTGCAACCATAAAAAAATATGCTTTTTTAAAGTACAAACAAATAATAAAATTTTGTTTAACATGTTTTCAAATTACAAAGTAATTTTTTTCCTTTAATGTTTGTCTATTTGGTAATCTAAGGTCACATAGTAAGAAATAAACCTGATATTATTGTTATTATTATTTTTTGAAAAAATGTAGTGTAGATTTCTTCTACAAAAGTTTGTAATTTTGGAGGTTATTATAATTTAAAAACTTCAGTGTTTGTCCAATCTTTATTTATCCATATGTTTATCACATGCCCTTAGATTATCGAATGAGAAAAATATTTCTTTTTTTGTGTAAAATGTTTTGATTGAATCTAATATGAATTGTTTAGAATATTTAATTTTTATTTATTTGAATCAATGTCTTGAAAATTTAGAAAAGGAAAAAAATTAAATTAAATTTATAATTTATTTGAGTTGTTTAGAAGATGAAAAAAGTTATTTTTCACATCTTTACAATATTTCAAATAGTTTTTACATACTTTGTTAATTATTTATGATTTGTCAATTTAGAATTTTGTATCCAAATTATAGATAAGATTTGTTAAAGGATTTCTCAACTCTAAACTTATAATTTTTTTTACTAAAAAACACATTCATCAAGTTTTAACAAATATGAAAGGATTTTAAATTGATTTGTCATTGCAACTAAGGAATCACAATAGAAGGGCAACTTTGGAATGAAATAACTTTCTCTTTAAGTTGAGAGAATGTTACAAAAATTTGAAACTAAGGGGATAAGTGATTTTTTAAAACTTTAAGGGTGCTAAGTAAAACTATCAAAAACTTCAGGGGAGATTTCTGAAATTATCCCTTGAATTTAATCTTTTGGATTATTCCTGACATTCTTCTAGGCCTAAAAGGTTTTCTTTTCTACTCAAGATAAAAGGTTTTCTTTTCTAGCCTTCTGATGTAATCCTTATTTCTCATTTTTTTGGTAGAAATTTCTCATATTTTATGAGCATGCTTCACACACTCATGAAAGCTGTGAGATCAAGAAGTAACGTAGGAGTGATATCATACTCGATGAAAGGTGGTGCAAATTCACTGGAGATTGCGAAATGGGGTTTGAGAAATCTTGGGGACTGTCCAGAACATGCGGAGGAGAATGCTATGATTGTTAAACTGGACCTGAAGAAGCAAGTGTGCATTTCACTTTTGGTTGCATGGGTTAGTATCTGTAAAAAAACAATATATTCAGATTGATGTCTGTTACATTCTTCTGCAAGATATCTTTTTATTAGGATCATTAAATGGTGGATATTATTCCTTTCCATGGGCTTATATCTTGGAACTTACTTCTCTGTCCTTTTGGATGGTTTATCTTAATGCTGCACTCAGTGAACTGATACTACGTATAATCATATTTGTTCGCAGGCAATGTTTGATCAATTCTTATAGTCAAGTCATTTTTCTTCGATTTTGACCTTTGAAGATGCTGATAAAGTTTTATTTTCCAATTCCTTTTGGCATCTAAAGGAGGTAATTCCCGTTTAGCTCATAGAGTATTTGTTCAAGTGAAATATATTCAGTTTTTCTGAACTGATGGCTTGTATAATTCATCTGTTCAACTGCTGTTCTGTTAAAAGACATATTGTATTATTTCCTTTTATTATTTCTTTATTTGCTTTAATGATTCTACATATCAAGGAGACTAGATCAACTATTGTGGAGTCCAGTGCAACTAAGAAGATGGAGATGTCTTGAGGCTGAAATTTGATGATTCTGTTGAACTTGCTACAAGTTTATAAAGCCTGCTCAACAAATGAAACAAGCTATATATTCTAAGATAAATTCCAAGAGTAGGCTGCATGTGTGGTGTTATTGTTTCAGGTATAGTTTTACTTTATTGAGAATCTGCTTGGTGATAGATTGCACTCGTCTGACTTCAGGTGTTTGGATATGATCAGCAGTTATAAACTTGGTGTTTGGCTTGATATATGTGGGGATGCAGCTTTCTATATGCTATCAAACATGCTGCCTCTTTTTCCATCTCATTATATCCCATTTCACTTTTCACTTTGCTGTGCATTAGGAAAATGTATACTGATTAATCTAAGTGAGATAAGAGCAGCACTGTTCTGCATTTTGAAGTTCTCTTAAACCCGCATCAGTGTTAGAACAAATATTTTAACATTTGTTCTATCACTGCTGCTGCTGACATCAGTATTTTAGGGAATATTGTCATCTGTCACTGATACTCTTGTGAAACATTAAGTAATCAGGAACAAGCATTTTTCTCTTTCATTAGTTTTCCTTTCCTGGTGCTGTTAGGTAAGGTATTGTCTTGTCAAGGGAAACCGTAGATGATCCAGAAGAAGGTTATTTGTGTTAGCGTCAGTAATTACAGAGGAATTCTTAGGTTGCTTTTTCAAAGGTTATCAGTGGAAGGCACAAAACACTAGCCAGAGGCTCGAAGATATTGAAAATACTTTTCCATCAGGAAAATATAACAAAAGATGAGTAAACCAAACTATGTTTGTGAAGAATTTCGTAGGGCTTGTTGAGGATACTGATCCATGTTGAAGTCTACTTCAACTGTTCATAAGTGTTTGGAAAGGGATACAAAAAGTTGAAAACAAGCAAAGCAAGACAAAATGTTAGAAGCACCAGTTCTTGCATTAAGTTTCCAATAGGTCATGCTTGCAATTTTACATTGTCTCTCAACCATATGCTAAGGGTGTGGAAATTTTATAGGAGTATGAAGGATGTGTGGCATTCAGACATTGAGATCAGAGAACAGTGCTTGAAGAATTCTAAACATGGAAAAGTATGATTAGCAATATTTGCAGAAAAATCAGAAAGATAGAGATGACATGGGCAAATGAGTAAATTGGAGATATAACTGATTAGCTGGGAAATTGTTGTGTGATTGTTGGGGCTTCTTGAAATACAACAGATTGAGTGGTAACCACAAAGAACAGTGCTACAGAGCATCTTAAGAGTAAAACTCGTAATAATATGTTGTTCTTCTTTACACATTTCCTACTTAAAGATTTCATACGAAGTTGATGAATGGGCTCTCCAATTTTGAAGCATTTCTGGATGTATATTCACCAAGTTTACATTTGATTGAGTGTGTCATCAATTCCATTTGTCCATTTGCATTCTGCATGATGGACTTGTGATGGGAGAAGTTGCACAAAGCAAGGTGTTTATTTCTCTGTTGTTCCTACTTCATTGCTGAGAAATTGGAGTAGTGGCAAAGAAACTTCCATTGCAAGGTTTTAGGGAGACAAGCTGTTTAAACTAATTACCTGTTATCCCCCAGTGGAATATAGGGCTCTTCTTAGACATCAAGAATATTCATGGGCTCTATTCTGCTCTTGCAGAAATAAATGGGTTTCAGGACTTGTAGGAGAACTAGAGGCACCAAGGAGGGTAACAGGCAAGAAGTGCGGATTGTAATGAGATCATTGGAGAGTTAAAGAAATAGACCAGCTATATCGTGTGGGTTATGGTGAAGTATCATAAGAACTTGGGTTGGGTTTCTGTTAATTTATTGAAACTTCTATAGAGGGCAGAAGAAGGTACGCCGTGCAAAGAGCAGTCATGGAGAATTTCTTGGTTTGTTCTGCATACCAACTATCAAAGTAGCAACTGGAGCAATATCAAGGAGGAATGTAGGAATCGGAAGATGAGGGCTTTGGAGTTCAGATTAGGATGTCAAGAATAGGAGCTGCGACCTTCCCATGGTTTGTCATCTAAGCACTACAATTGCAAATCAGGACAAGTGGATATGTAGAGGAAAGATTCATAAATGTTTATTGTGAAACCTGATTGTATCATAAATTAGAAGGAAGACTAGAAGAGCATGGATTTTTGACAATCGAAGCTTCCAAGAAAAAAGTTGTTTTCAATGCTGTGCAGCTTAGCTGGTGATTCTGACAGAGAAGGAATTTTTAGCAAGGAAAATGGGGAAGACAAACCAATTGCTGCAGCACCTTAGATATGTTGACGACTTAAGGAGCATTGGGAAATCTTCTCCATGTTCTGTTTTAGTGGGCAATACTTTAGTTAGCCCAGGAAAGGTGCTGAAAGAACATTGGGAAACATTCAGCAGTCCTTTGGATGATAGGAGGAACATAACGTAAGGTTTTTCAGAGAGAAAGATGAACATTGTGGGCTTCATTAGCTTGCACAGTTGCTAAAACTTAATCTTTGTAATATTTGTTGATCTGAAAATATTTTGTGTTAGTGGAGATAGCCATTGTGGAAAATTTGAGGAGAAATAGTATTGCAAATGTGAAATTACATGTGATTTTGTTTAATAATATTGTTCCTTTTTTTGGGGGTTTTTGGGGGAGGGGGGGGGGTTATGATTCAAGTAGTCGCATTCGGTATATGTAGGACATTTTTGACTATCTACTAACTTGGAGGTTGACCATGAAAAATCACCCCTTTCCAGTATTGCTTGTACTTGGAAATAAATGGGATCAGATCTAGAGATTTACTTTCAACACCCCCCTTTAAAACCAAACCCCCAAATGCAAAATTGAGCTGCAGCAGGCATGCAGATTTTGATTTAAATGTTCACTTATTTATGGATATGGATTTACAAAATTTGTGCATTGAGGACCTGAGACCTATTTCAAACATAATTGTTGTCTTAGTGTGGGATACACTAAAGTTTCACGATCACCTTGATTAAAGAACATGACATCCTTTTCGCTCTAAATACAAGACATTCTCACCTATGGAGCTGCTCTAATGCCAATTTGTCAGGCCAGTGAACTTGGTGGTGTGACCACAAGTCAACCAGCATAACTTAATCTGATTTTGGTCTTATGTTGCAGACCAGATATCTTATGCTGCAAAGCAGTACTGTGGCTCATACTTGTAAGACATTCCAAATCTTCTCCTATTTGATGCAGTCCTCAGACTCTCCTTGTCAAAGAGTGGATGTCCTTGTAGTGCCCTGGCACTGATAGAGTTCTTTTAAGAGGTTGGTTGTCTCCCCTTGGATTGAGTGCAATAGCATGGGTAACATCACCGGGTTTGTTGGGATCTGGGTGTGACAAAATGGTAGTGGAGCAGACCTGTAATACAAGATGTTTACAGGATGAACTTTTCATTTGTTTCTATACTTTGTTGCCTGCCACAATCTCCTGCATGATAGCTTCTCCTGTCCTACTGGTTGGCATGGTCAGCAATAAAAGAACTGGATTGCTTTACTTGTGATCAAGAACTATGTCGGATGTTTCTACCTTCAAATAATGGTGTAAGCAATGTTTTCTTTTTTTAGGATCCTACAAAAATGATAATCATCCTGTAGAAACTGTCTTTGTCATCTTACTTGGATGATATGTTTCCAAATTATGAAGTAATAGATCACAAATTTGTTCCGAACTTATGTGGTGACAATATCCTGAACCTTCAGTTAAATTTTTCAAAAAGAGGAGAGAAATTTATATTGAGAAAGTTGTAAATAAGTGCCACTGCATGGTGGTTCCTTGAGACAATATAGTAGTTGCTTGAAAACTTTGTTTCTGAGTAGTTTATTGATCAATTTGAGACTTTTTTGTGCAGAGAAACAATATGATTGATTCAAAGTTTGGATATGCTACTAAAACTTGCAGAGGTAGAGTAAATAACATATTTGGGACATCTTGCTTGGAGGATTTCTATCATGTCTTCAATCTTGGTTGGAAACTTTTTATCGCTTTTTGGTTGAGTTGTGTTATTTTATTAGTCAATTAAAGTTGCTGGTTTGCTGAGAGTCTTCTCATAAGCGTTAGTCATATAATTTCCTGTTTAAGAGACTGAAAAACTTTATAGTCAAGATAGTTTGGATTGATATTCTGTGCCTTCTTATTTATTCCACCTAAAATCTGGTATGGATGTATGTGCATGAAATTATTGGGGAGCTATTTTTTAAATTTTCCTGTCTCTCCATATAAATTATGGATTTAATGCATGTATTTGAAATTTTTGTATATGCTATGTAAATGAGTCATAGCAAAATCTTTCTCGTTGATTTCCTTTTCTGAAATTAGCATCTTTGAGACATTATATTTGTTTCTAAGATTGACTCTTTTTTTTGAAGCAGAGATGATTTTAAGTAGGGAAACAAGTCAACGAAATGAGTCGGATTAATCAACGCATTATATCGCATTCAGAATTTATAGGATTTAGGTGGTTGTAATGGTTCACTTACTTAAATGTTGGGTTTTACGAGTGACATAGGTGGTAAATTGTATGTTAAAACCAAAGAGTCTTGAGCAAAATAGCTGTAAAAGCGGTTCTGTTACTGTTCCAAAATGTATTGCAGACACTAATCTAAATGCTTCACATTTAGATTAAAACTGGTTTTATCGGGACTTTTGGAAGCTGTGGTTGGGCTACTAATTAGATAAATCAGTTATAAATTCTTACATTTCTAAACACAGCTAAACACAGCTAGGGTTTTCTTCTCCGCCGGCTCCTATACCAAAGTCTTTAGGATTGTTCTTTAACTGAAGAGGCTTATAGATGTGAAGATAACTGTAGAAGGAGAAGAGGAATTGAACTGGCTTGGGCTTTTTTGGGCATCTTCATTGCTGGTGCTCAAAAGCGTATAGATTATCTTATTCTTCCTTTCATTCATTTCATTCATTTCATTAGCTGAAACTTTTCTTGTTTTGTAGTCCCTTTCTTTCCCTCAAGTAAAGATATAATCTGATTGTCGTTGCGCTATTCTGGATTTTTACTTCATTTCTGATAGCACACATTGCTTCGATTTCCAAGAAAAACTTTAGGAATATTTGTTTGGAAAAACTAGGAAAAGTACATGTTTCTCACAATGTTAATCTAATATATATGCATTTACTAGTTTTTCTACGTAGCATTTGTAGGTTCATTGTTTTCATTTCTAGAAAATTTACAGGATTCAAATAGCCAAAACAGAACTAAATGAAGTGGTCTACCATTGATGTTTGATTACTTCCTTTCCCGTCCTGATTTAACTCCAACACAAGTGTTTCCAGAACATTTGATTACCTTAAAAAGAAGTTTCCAGAAAATTGAGATCATCATTTCTCCAATAAAAGTTGCATTCATGAGTGATGCATTTTATGTTTTCATACTTTAATAGGTTTAAACACATGTTTCTGTTTCATTGGACATGTATTTGTTGGTAACTGCATTGATCAGTCGGAAGGAATATTTGAAGCAAGTGATGCCCTTCAATATGAAGAAGGCTTAAAGTGTCTTGCACTGAATTTATTCTTAAAAGTAGTTAATAATAGTTAGCAATTAATCTGACATTATTTTGTATTTGGCTGTGGGTTTTATCAGTAGTGATACTAGAAACTGAGTATCCTGTTATTGGATCTTTTATCAATTTGAAAATCCAGGTTTTCATGCAGTGAATTGTCTAGTTCATAATGATCAAAGTGTTTATAAGTCTGGCTTTCCCACAGACATTCATCATGCTACAAACAATCTTGCTAAGTTATGGGTGTTTTAGAAGTCATTTGAAGTTGCTTGGGATATTGGTATTCTGGAAGTAGAGAGAGAGAGGAGAGACCTGATCGACATTGTCACAGAGAGCTCTCGAGTGAATTTTTGAGGCTGCTTTATATGCTGAGGGAGAGGATGAAGACGTCAATTGTTTTACTAAATCTAGTTTCTAAATCAAGGTTAGAATGAAATATATGCAGCAAAAGGGGGAAAAAAGGAGAAAACAGCAAATGTATGGAACAGAAAAAGTAGTAGTTATGACATCCTTTCTCTAAACCTTGACAGTGCTAATTCGAAAGACAAGAGTAAAAACATTCATTGAGGTTGGTCTAGTATGACACCCAATTTTAGAGCTTGTGACTTTTTCCTTGGGGGTAGGTAGGGAGGATGCTGCCCCTTCCCTTTCCCCAAAGACAAAAGAAAATGAAAAGATCAAAGGAATATGGAGAGTGGAAAAATAGAATGCAGAGAAAATTGAAAAGCTACGTCATATTGTTGATCTACACTAACTTTGGACAAGTAATATTATGATTAGGAATTATAAAGCTAGTTGTAGATATTGAAAATTGATGTTGTAGTTACTATATCTAGAGCTTAGCCTTCTAATGCTGCCTGTGTGAGAAGGATATGTAGCACTGGTTGTTCATCAGTTTTATTCCATATAATTTGTAGCAAGTTTTTTGAGGGTAAACCAATTTTACCTGGCATGTAGAGCAATGGCATTTGGAACAAGTGAAATCAACAAAATGGACCAGTCAATTGAGCCTTCAAAAGTAAGTTCTCCTGCAGCAGAGGGGAATAAGCTGGGAACTGGTGACACTTTGGAGGACCAGATAACAACACCAGAAGAGAAGATGAAAAATACTAGAAACAAGTATGCTGTACAGTTTGAAACTTCATCGTGAGTTTGAGATTGCAAGAAAAGATTAAAGAAAATATTGCTACACATTTTGTAGTTTTGAGAAGGACACATTTTTCTTAACCTATTATCTTTAGTTACGAGGGGGAAAAAGAGAAAATCAGTGTAAATTCTCTAATGCAAGTTCATAGTCCATTGATGCATTCCGTCTGTGTATTTTTTCCAGGCGTACAATCCATGATGAACAAAAAGCCAGCAGTACAATAAACATTGATAACTCCAGGATACCTAGAACAAATTCTATCTCACATGAAGATGGATCATCCTGTCATCTCTTATCTGGAGTTGTAGCGAATCTCAAACTGCCTACAGAAGAGAATGGAATGTCGGCAGGCATGGCCAATAACTGTAAACTTGCGCCTTCGACCATTTTGTCTGCTAATTACATAACCAATTGTGTTGCCCAAAGACAACATTATTCAATGACAAACGATGAAACCCTGACGCCATTGCAAGATTTGGCAACATCTGATCCAGGAAGTAGGTTTTGTAAGAACTATCCCGAAATGGAGAAAAATTGTGGCAATATTTTCTCTACAAATCTTCTTAACATGACAGAAGGATCAGGAGTCACAGAAAACAAATTTAAAGGAAAGGGTACTCATGCAGTTGGAGCATCTGTTGCTGCATATTGTGTAGCTGAAGCTTTTAATGGAGAAAGCAGTAATGATATGAAAAATCAAGGAAGGATTATCTCGGCAACAGTAGATGTCAATCCAGGAGCAGAAAAAGATGAAAGTTTACCTTCAACAAAACCAACTACGAGATGCAGCTCTACTAAAGATAAAAGGTCTTGCAATCTTCACTGCTCTGGATCTGGAAAGGGTTATTATAGTATTCTTTCCTACTTTTTCTGTTGTTTCTTGCTTTACCAAGTATTTGAAATATTGATTTCAGTAAATCTGGAAGTGTACCACCAAAAAAGTTGAGGAAATGTGAGGCATCTGTTCTTACTGGACCTAATTCAAACAACAAGCCTTCAGATATTACAGGTACAGTTTGCCATATGCTCTTGTACATTCATTGAAATGTATCCAAAAAATAAAAGACCTTATTTTTTTTTTATTCTGCTGCCTGGTTGGTGTCAGGAGCTTTGAAAGACTATTTTCATGTTGGAGTTTGTCTAGAAAGTTAGATGTAGAAATATTTTCACCAGCAAAACCCTCTTTGGAAGTTGATGGGATCAAAGCTGATGGTCTGTTTTCATGATGGTTTTGAATGATTTAGGAGGCATATCTGGGTGAATGGAAGGACAATATCTCTAGCCTGACCTGACTGTCCAATAAGGTCACTTTGATACAAATTGCTTGATGACTGTAACAAGCATATTTTTTTCTTTTAGAAAGATCAATTCATGGAGCTATCACGCTTCTTTTTTCTTAAACTGACTCAGTCAAGGGGCAATTGATATGTGAAATTTGAGTATCTATTAACCATCTAACATCAGCATTATATATTTGGAAGGCTGGATAGAAGCAGCGGAAAAACTAAATTACGCTTGTAAATTTTCATGGTTTGGGGTATCCTTCCGGTGACTTCATGTCCCTTTCTTCTAGGAAATATGTAAAATTGGAGCGAGATTAGCCTTCAGTTGTGTGAACATCCAAAAAAAGAAGGTTCTGAGCCTACACATAGATAATTCTGCTATGGTTCAGTAATTGTGTCTCTCTTATGAGTCCAAATCTAGGTTGGTCCATGCATTTGACTCTTGAAGGATGGCAAAGAAGGGGCTGGCCTTGTACATAAGTGGAAGGGCTGACCCTAAAAGAGAGGTTCCTAGCATGAATAGAAATGATTATTGTGTCTTTCAATAGAAAAGTGAATTCAAGGTGCCTGTGAAAGGCAAAATAAATGATGATGCGCTCTAGATGAGGTTGTTTGAGAATAATTGCTGATGAAGGTCTTATCCGTAATCTAGACAAAAGGACTTGTCCTGGTTAAAGTAAGAGTTGCTAATGATCATGCAGGAGTAGTTTAGGAGTGAAGAGGTACCTATATTTGTTTTTTACTTAAATTTTCCTTGAGGACAAGATTTATTTGATGAGCTGATGTAGTTACCCCTGCAATCATATGTATTTCTCTGTCGAATGCTGTTCACAGCCATGATTCCTAGTCAGCTTTCTGTCTCACGTGATTTGTGTCATTTAGCATTTGAGTTCAAGAAGGAAATATTGCTCATAGTAACTCAATGCCACCTAGAATTGGACAGAGTGGAACCATGCCATGTGCATTTTCCACATCTAATCTCCTTTGTATGAGTTACACCTAGGCATTTTAGTTGATAAAGTGCTGGCCCAAGGGCACTCTTGAGGTGGTTGTGTGGATGGGATTTCTTTGTCATGAGCTTATTGCTTCCGGAACTTTAAGTGTAAATACTGTTTCTAAGCAGTGGTGTTTGTCCTATATTTCAAGCTAAGTGCTTGGCAGAGTAAATGTTCTTGAAATACTTACCCCATAATTAAATTACAAAACATGTCAAAGATACTGACTTTTCGTTAGCAGTGGTAAGTTTTCAACCTTCTGAAGTTACTCTCCTTTTGCACTTAAAGCGCTCTCTTTGAAGAACAAAAGGAGATGGCACTAATTGAGTGAAATGTACGATTGATATTTTAATTAATGATTGAAAACTTTGTAATTTGGGATTTACATTGCTGAAAAGGAATCAAGACAATGGGCTTATGGAAGCACTACGTGTGGTACATTATGTTGACTTAATATCAGGGACCTTAGAAGGATGTTAACAGGATGTATATGCCTGAATTCATAGTTTTAAGATGTTCAATTGGAAAGAAAATAGGGAGAATAATTAACACATAATTGAGTAAATCTGCCACTGTGGATGGGAATATGGAGTTAATGATTATGTAGGGGTAAGTATCAGGTCTGATTTACTTGAACTTTTGCTCGTGTTAAAAAAGACATTTATTTGAATTTCTGTCTTCTATGATGTTTGTAGTTGCATGCAATATATTGTTGCTCGTGTCTTGGTGACCTAGTAGTTTCTAGTTCTACAGGATTCTTCTGTAGTTTGCAACGTTGCATTGGGATGAACAGGATAAAGGATGACAGCATTCAGAGAAAATAGTTGACTTGTTTTGAAAACTGTATTAAAACTATTCTGAATGTACTTATCCAGGTGAAACCGATGATGATCACAAAGAATTGTTAGTGGCTGCTGGTTCAGTTCATAGTATACGCGGTACATATCTGAATCTTATCTGTTTTCTTAGACATTTATTCTTCATACTTTCTCAACATGAATGTGATCCTAGTGATATATATGATGTACCTGCAGAAAATGCCTGCTCTTTTCCATTTTGGAAGACAATGGAGAGCTTTTTTGCTCCTGTCACTTCTCAGGACATATTTTTCCTCAAACAAGAAGTAGTACCTAAATAAATTCTCATGCCTGATATATACATTTTGTATTTTGAAGTTTTAAATTCTTGATACAGCATCTATTTCTTACACGTTCTCTTCTTTTAACAGCTGAATTTTGTTGAGAACCTGACTCAGTCTCAGATATTTGGTGATGAATATGATAGACCGGTAATTAGTTGCCCATTTTAATACTCCTTTTTATTTTCTTTCATAAGTTTGCAATTTTCTTAATTTGTTTGGCAAAGATAGAACCAGCAAAATACAGGGATGAATACAACTAAGCTTTTGACTCAAGTAATTTGATTGTTGAGTTTATTTTCTCAGGGTGGCATTAGTAGTTCTCCTCGAAGGGAAGTCAGTAATTCAGATCAACAATCAATAACATCAACTGCTTTTGGTAGATCAAATAAGCCATCAAATATTGTTCCTCCATTGCTTCAAAGAGTCCTCTCAGCGTTCGTTAATGAAGATGGAGGTGCAGACAAATCTAGTTCAAATGAAGTAAGGATCATTTCTTTTCAGTGCATAACTGATGACCGTCATTTGTCTTCCTGTACCTACACAGGTTCTGATCCCCATTGCTGTGAGAGAGTGGAATTTGAACTTCAGCCAGAGTTAGATATGCAAGCTCAGAAGTATTCTTCTGTGTACGGATTATGTTCTAATAAAAGTGCTTCAACGTATAGCACAGGAAGTGTATCCAATACTTTCAGCAATCAAGGGCGACTGCAAGCAGATGAAGGCTTGTCCTATTCAAACGCAGGAATTTTGCATGGGAATAATCAAAATGATCCAATTTTAACACATGCTTCACAAGTAAATGCACCTCCAGGTTTTCCTTTTAATTGTTCATATCAGATGCTGTCTCCCAATGACAAACTATCTCTGGAACCGTGGAGCATTGGTTTAAATGCGGTAAGGATTTGACTGATCAAAGCTCTTTTCATTTTGGTCTGATCATTTTTCTAATTCGTCCTTTTCTAACAGCCTCTTCTAGACAGTAGAGAAGGATGGATTGATCGAGAAATTAAGCGACTTAGAGGGGAGCTGTGGCAAAAGGTTAGAGTGATTTCCTAAGTTTTTCAGTGGTTTTATATCTTAAAGTTTGCCATATTCACTAGCACCTAGTTATACTGTTTTGATCTCTCTCTTTTTCTTTTTCTTTTTTCTTTTTTTTTTAAAGCTTCTCAGCAGATAATTTTATGCGACTCTGTTTAGGAAAAAGCATGGTAACATGCATTTTGTCACTTAGTGTCAAATTTGTCATCTTTCACAATAACTTGATAGGTGTCAAATTCTTTCATCCCTTACAACAGATAATTCAATCTTGATAGGTTTCAATGGTGAAGAATAACTTGAGGAAAATTGGAAAAGCTATTAAATGTGAGCAAGACTTGGAGAAAAGGTATGGTCACACACTGTTTGAGTCTGAACTGATATCAGGTAGCTCATTCATTTTGTATATGAGAATAATGAGGTTTTTCTTTAGGAATCTTGAAGAATCTGCTATGGATCAGCTGGTTGAAATGGCCTACAAGAGGATGGTAATTGAGATAAGCTGATTCCCATGTTTTAATCTAGAATTTTAAACGATCAGTATTTGATTATCTAGTTCAGGTCTATAGATGAAACTTTGTGTCTTCGTCACTTCCTGGTTACGTGAACCATAGGTGCTACTAGCTTTTTATAAGTGCAAATTGCCTACTAATATCTGGATTGTGGGAAATTGTGATATTTTCTTTCATTATTTCATTTTGATTATGCTAGTATTAGCTCTAGTTTTAGGACAGAAAAGCGTTTAGAGTAAAGAAGCTTTAGCTCTTGGTTGATAACTATTTTTAACTGAAGGTACTTTTGCCAAGAAATTCCCTTGCCATTAGCTTTGCATTGGGAAGGAGGGTTGCTGTTTTAAGGCTTTATGTCACTGATAGGCCCCATGTGCTGTGCTTATTGTGCATGTATAGGGCATGTAAAATTCTACAGTGAGGAAAGGGCATGTATGGTTCTAGAGTGAGGAAACACTTTGCTAAGACTTGCATTCTCAAGTTTGTCATCTGAGTCCCTTCTGGTTGTTTTTTTCCCTGATTTTGCACCATACTTATTTGCCTCATGATGTGCTGTACCTTCCTCGTTCCCCTAGTCCGCACCCAAATACGGGCACCTAGTGCCATCAAGAATGAAAATGTAAAAGAAGAAAACTATTACAGCAGCAATGGATCCAAATGTCACGGATCCAAATGTCCCATTTGTTGAGGCAGATGTCATTCTGCTTAATTGTATTCGTTCTGTATAATCCAGGTTATATTCTTTGGTAAAACCCATGGCCCAGGGAGGGGGGGGTGGGGGTGTCCAAACTGACATGGGAAATCTCATGTCAAAGTGTCCATACGTTTTACATATCTCAAAACTCACAACATAATACATTATTCATCCCACTGGCCTCCGTGGACGCATTTGATTTAAATTACATAACTGGAAAGTAAAAATGAAGTGTTCTTGGGCTACTGATAAGTAACTCAAATAGTCTGTTCTAGTCATGTTGCTTGATTGTTGAAATCATTATTTAAATCATAATTTCTTTGCAAACAATTCTTTTTTACTTTTGTTGCATTCTTGAATATTTTTATTTTCTTTACCCAAATCAAGGAACTCCAAGGTCATTGTTGATCGAATCCCGTCTATGTCATGGAGTCACTTTGAGCCTTATTATTCAAATCAAGTATCTTTTTCAGTTCCAGGGTGGTTGGCGAAGCAAGTCTTCAAGGATTCGTAAAGTCTCTGAACGAGCTGCTTTGCCCTTTGTCAAACGCACTCTTGCTAGGTGCAAGCAATTTGAAGACTCAGGCAAGAGTATCTTCGGTCAGCATGATCTACTGAGCAGTATCTTATATAAACCTTCAACTGAGAAAGATCCAAGGCCTATTGAATGTGATGGCTCTATGATACTTGATAACAAATGTAAACGAGCTCATGGCAAAGCAAAGCGCAAATGTTCAGGTACTACTTTGTAAAAGTCTCTTCGTTATGAAAGAAATAACCAAAATCTTAACATTGTCTTTAGATGAGGATATATTCAGGCAAGAATGTATTCAGTCAGTGTGCTCTGCTGAGCGGTATCTTGTATAAACCTCCAATTGAGAAAGATACAAGGCCTATTGAGTTTGATGGCTTTATGATACTTGATAGCAAATGTAAAGAAGCTCGTAACAGAGCAAGATATTTGGTAAAATGAATGACAAAGTTTGCTTTTTGCTTTATTGTGTAGTCAACAGTCCAGTTTGACGCCAAAACATAATTTATTTTTCTTCTGGCGCTAAACAGCAGTTTTCTTTATTGGGCTATTCCAAATAATTGAGTACTGATTTTCAGAGATTGGTCCTGCGTTGGGTGCAATTCAGAGGCTTGACTCTCAGAATAATAACATGCAGAGAGGTTCTTCTGGGTTACAGGAGACTTCAACTCCATTAGACCCTGTAAAAATCCTTGGTGAGACTGAAGATCTTAGTTCTTTGTTGAAATTTGATGAAGAAGGCTTGTTAGATGGTGACTGTATAGGACTTGACGTGCCAATTCAGAAGTGGAGATGTTTCTGTAATGTTGTGCTTGTGAAGTGGCTGAGTTCTACTTTCCTCAGCATGAACATTATTCCTTCTCTTTTCTTCTGCAGAGCAATTCCTGATTGATACAGATTTTAGGGTCTTCTTACTTCTTGGGGTTAGAATTTTTAAATTCCTGGTTAAGTCTGGTTTGCGGTATTGGAATGTTATTCTGACTGTTTGAACTCGAAATAATTTGACACTTTATTAGATGCTTGGACTCATTGAAATTCAAGATTGTAAAAATCTGGCCCATTACTTGCTTGTCTTTCCAAAGTTTCCAAAATACCATGTGCCATTTAGGCTTCTTACCTGCATATAATCCCTCCTTATCACCAGAACAGAATCGCTGTCCTTTAGGTTCCTTGAATCTTCTTCAGTTTTTACTTGAAAAAAGGCCTTTGAGGTATGTGGTGGCCTTTGAGGTTGTAATAAAGTGGTAAAAAATTATCTGTGGCTTCCCAGACTCAAATGATCTCAGATTCAAGTCCCCTACTATGAATCACCAATGGTTTGTTGTCAAACAAATAAGGCATCACTTTAATTTTCTCTTAAGGTTAGTTTTAGATTTGGTTGTAAAACTTTATGTAGGAAGAAACCAATGTTTGGTTCCTTAAATCTGTGAATTCCATTTGAAGTTGCAAATTGGCCCATATGTGACTTGATATTCCATTAATGTGACTTCTCTCAAATGCCCATATAAATAATTCTGATTCTATTACATCTGCTACATTTGAGAATTAGAATGGTTGCAAGTAAATCATTTAGAATCAACATATACACACAACTAACGATTGTACTAACTCAAATTATGCATGTATAAATTTTAGTACTGTAAGAAAATTTTACATAATATTTTTGGTGTCTCACCATCAAAAAAAAAAAAGGGTAACTCAATAATTTGTGTCATAAAATTTTTAAATTTTTGATTGACGGTTCAATTTGGATTGCTAATCTTAATTATGGTCATTCAAAAGGGACATTTGTATGTGCTACTGGTTACCTATATTTTGATATACAATTGAAAGATTGGAGCACTTCATAAGTTTTTGAATAGAAGAAGACTGTTTCTACATAATCTAGCAAAAAAGATGAATTTTCTTTTTGTTTCGAGTATTAATTTTTAAATTAAATTCGCTTTAACCACAGAATACCATTAGAATTTCATGGACCCAAATCTGTCAACCCACGGTTTAGAAACCTAACATAGCCTTGACGGATTGATACACAAGAAACTCTACAGGCCTACTTTAGTTTGCATTCTGTGAAAATTGCTTCATTTTATTTCTGTTTGAGGATCTTAACAAAGTATATATTTTTTAATGTTCTATCTGTCCTCGAGCCCTTTTTATTCTCAATTGTCAAGTTTAAGATTTGAATTCCGAACCTTGATAGTGGAGAGAACTTGAAGAGCCCTCCCTGGCTATTGAGCCAATTCCAATGGTTTTCTATATATATATATAATGAAGATGTTGTAAGTAGAATTTTCTACTTTTCTAAATGCTTTAACTTGATTAATTGTGCTTGTCTATTTGATTCTATATATTTCTTGGTTGGTACATCCAATCAAATTCTTAACCAACCATAGGCTATTATATGAAAAGATTCTTTCCTAAAGATGCTGTTCATCATTATTTTATTTTTAATCGAGCTATCATGATATTATATTTACACATAATGTTAATCTCTTAAATAGTTGGTTTTGAATCATGATGGTTTGTTTATTTTAGTGGTTGTTGCAATCTCTAAGTACATGAATATTGAGAAGGCTATCTGATTTGGATTAGGTTTTGTAGTCTATGTTTAATCAAAGTAAAATTGATTAGCATCAAGTGATAAAGCACTTTTCTTTAAAAAAAAATGCCAAGGATTAATGTCCATAATTGTCTATCTTATAGTCCCATTCTTCTTTAGTTTTGAAATAGTAGAATATATGTATTACAACAACTTCCCAAAACAAAACAAAAAAAAAAAAATCCAGCCCGCTAAGAGCTTTCAAAGCTTCAAATGGGAGAAGAAATTAGTTAGAGATTATATATTAAAGAACGATGTGTTTAAGATGTATTTCAGGTGTTAGATTTTTAGAAATATAAGATTAATTAGGGAAAGCATATAAATACAAGGGGATTAATTAGGAAAAGTGTATAAATGCAAGAGAAAATAATAATTTTTAGGGTGTGTATATACATGATAAGATAGGATGGAATGTAGGTATGTTAACGTATGGTCACCCATTAGAAAAATTCATTAAAATAAGAGCATTTGGTCAACTGTTCAGTCATTCTCAGAAAAGGAAAGGAAGAGAAAATTTTAACTGCTCAAACACTACCATCTGGCAATTTCTTATTGTTTTTGCCAATTAGTTTAGCATGGACTATTGTCATTTATAACAAAGGAAAATGGAAGTTCCTTTCAAATTTATCTGCTGTTGCGTAGTGTGATAGGAACTAGTACTAGTTTTATAGACAGTTAATTGAAAGAGGTTAATTGTATGCAAAAGCCAAATTAAGTAACTAAAAATAATTGTCAATCTTGTGCTTGATTACTTTGTGAAACATAGCATTGTCACTATCTACACAGAAATCTTGATATATTAAATAGAAACATACCAAATTCAACCTGATGCAATATTTATGTCATTCTCCAAAACAAAAAGAAAATAGAAAAGAAATGAAGACCTTGACTATCATTTTTCACTGTAGTTTCAAATGTAATCACATAATTCATTAGGAATTTAGTTACAAATCTCTATGTGTTTAATTAACTAAATCCTCATTGTGACATATTGATGGGAGTTCAAAATCTTCTTCTCATACTCATAAAAATGCTTGTGGATTGTCATCTTCTTTGGATACTCAGCCTAAATGATTAGCTTGCAAATCCAAATTGTAGCATCCTTTCTAAATTGCCAAAGGCTAATCAAACCCCAAAAACAAAGGCTTAAAAGGAACATAAGAAATGAATGACAACCCCCTTAACGTTTTGTCTGTCTTTCAGGAAACCATTTTGACAAATTTTCCTTGAAAGCAAGCTCCAGAGGGAATTAATGACCAGTAGTTGGCTCCAAAACTAGCATCATTCAATGATCTTTTTTTAAAGAAAGAGGATGTCCATAATAAATAAGAGTAAATCTTATATACTCTTACCGTGTATACACTATCACAGTTGAATATGTGACACATATGTAAAATTTATATTTTAAATTCAAATTATGTGTCATGTATCCAATGATGAAAGTGTACACACTGTCAGTGTATATATAAAAGATTAATTCAATAAATAACCAAAAAAAAAAAAGTAAATTGAAAGATTGTATAGTACATGCTTATCTACCTCGATGTTGCTATATGATTATTCAACAATTTGTCGGCAATTATATTAAGCAATCAAAGGAATCAATTATTGATCATTCCTGAATAATAATAGTTAAACCGGTTTTGGATATGTGTCTGATATTGGATTTGGTGCCCTTTTGCTTTAGATCTTATCATTTCTTTATGAAAGGTCAGGTGAGCTTTTGCAATCACAGCAGTCCATGCCAAACAAGATGTACTATAAAGATCATTTCATCTACAATTCAAATTGACGAGTTTAGTTATGCAATTTCTTTCTTTCTTTTTCTCTTTTTGGTGGGGAAGTTTTGTATAATTCTTTGGTTATGTTGGAAACGAAGAGAGTCAACCTAAAATTTGTGGGATGAGTTGTGCTTTGGATTTCTCTTATAGTCAATGATGAGGTATTGTCTGCCAAGTATTTTGAGGCGCAAAAATACAGAGTTTCAAGCTGCAAATTTTGTACGTTTTAAACCAAATAATATTTTCACATTTTTTTATAAAAAAAAATCATCATTCATTAAATCTGCAGTAATGACAGAAATTATATCAACCATATACAGAAGCAAATAGATCTGAAGAACAAAACTAGATACTACAGATATGAAAAATTAAGAGAATGTTAGATTAAAAAGTTAAGTATTTTTGAGTTTCTATTTTCACATTTATGTCAATGAAAAAAAAAAAAACACTATCCTTTTTGTTTCTTTTGGCAAAGTGATCATCAAGAATGTTCCAATGTCACAACAACATATTATGACTTGGCAACAGGGAAATCCAGTGGTTACTTGCTGAGTTAAGTTCAATTCCCAAATCAGCAAAAGAGAATTGAATTGTCTTTACATTGTGAAAGCACTCAAATTCCAATTTGCTTTCCTGGCTCGGTAGTAAGTGAACTTGTTTTTGTGGACCACAAGACACTTAAATTGCTATTCCAACTTTTATTAACCCCAAAAGGCAATGATGAAAGAATGATTATATTTGGTTAATCAAAGCTAATTTGCAAATGACGTATTTGATTTATACCCAATAATTTTCTAGGGTTTACAAAAGCACGCTGATAATGACGGGATATTACCGACCTTTCTCTTTATTTTATGTTAAAAATTGCTTGTCATGCTAACCCAAAAAGTAGAGGCCGAATAGAGTCCATTAATCACACATCAATTTAATTATACGTTAATCTCTTTCTTGTACAGTTTGCCATATGCTCTTGTACATTCATTGAAATGTATCCAAAAAATAAAAGACCTTATTTTTTTTTATTCTGCTGCCTGGTTGGTGTCAGGAGCTTTGAAAGACTATTTTCATGTTGGAGTTTGTTTAGAAAGTTAGATGTAGAAATATTTTCACCAGCAAAACCCTCTTTGGAAGTTGATGGGATCAAAGCTGATGGTCTGTTTTCATGATGGTTTTGAATGATTTAGGAGGCATATCTGAGTGAATGGAAGGACAATATCTCTAGCCTGACCTGACTGTCCAATAAGGTCACTTTGATACAAATTGCTTGATGACCGTAACAAGCATATTTTTTTCTTTTAGAAAGATCAATTCATGGAGCTATCACGCTTCTTTTTTCTTAAACTGACTCAGTCAAGAGGTAATTGATATGTGAAATTTGAGTAACTATTAGCCATCTAACATCAGCATTATATATTTGGAAGGCTGGATAGAAGCAGCGGAAAAACTAAATGACGCTTGTAAATTTTCATGGTTTGGGGTAGCCTTCCGGTGACTTCATGTCCATTTCTTCTAGGAAATATGTAAAATTGGAGCGAAATTAGCCTTCAGTTGTGTGAACGTCCAAAAAAAGAAGGTTCTGAGCCTACACATAGATAATTCTGCTATGGTTCAGTAATTGTGTCTCTCTTATGAGTC